ACCGACAAGCTGTTTCGTAAGAAGATTTGTTGGTCACTTATGACCATCTACAAAAGCACAAGTGTTATGTATGAAAATGTGCGGGAGACTGCGGTTTTTCGAATCACATCTAAGGGCATTGATGGACTGAACCCTGTATGGTTCAGACCCCCTCTTAGCGCCTTTCCGCCGAAGGCATTCACTGAGAGCACCATAACCTCGCTACCCTGCAACCATTATGATCCTTGCCTTTGAATCGCCAAACATGTTCGGCAAAAACTTGAAGAGCCAAAAGAAGGGCAGAAATTCGCGATAAACTTTGAAATTTCTCCTGTGCAAGTCACTACCACGCTGCATAGCCGCAGCTTTTCAGATAAGGATAAAAGGATAAAGCATTTGCCGCCTCTTTGGATGGGCATGCATTCTACTTCCATTTGTACATTCGTAGTGGCGTTTGAATGCGATGTGGCCTATACAATGACTTGCGGGGGCCAGCCGATGTACAATACAAATCAGTTTCACAAGAATGCTGGGTTGTGAACAAAACTTTCGCCCCAGGCGGACCAGTTAGCGTAACTGGTAGCGCACTTGCCCGGAAAGCGAGAGGTGCGGGTTCTAGTCCCGCCTGGGGCGAAAGTTTTGTTCACAACCCAGCATTCTTGTGAAACATTCGCAAGGCGAACTGCGGCCAAAAACAGCAGTTAACAAACAAAAACAAGTCAAAAAGTTCAAGTCAGTGTTTTTATCCTCCCAGACAAGTCTGGTACCAATTAACCGACCCCGGAGGGATGGAAGGCTTGGTTGGCCCGGGCGACTCACGACCCAGGATTTGATCCCCGGACCGCTCGCGTGGTAAGCGTGCCACTTGCCACTACACCACTTCCGCCCACTTGGCCAACAGGCTAATGATTCAGGCTAGTCAGTAGCCTCACAGGTAGTAGCTCTCGCGAGTAGCTCCCGCTCTCGTCTTCCCGAAGCTTCTGTTTTAACAGTGAGCTTCGGGAGCCTGCCTTCAAGCTCCCTACACTTCATTGGGGTCCAGCGGAGTTAGTAGGGTAAGTGCAGTGGAACTTCTTTTCACGCACACGTTTTGGGGGTCAGATCCTGGCCTACTTAATCACCAAAGTCACTGTGTAGGCCAAACAGATTTTAATTGTCACTACGATTCTGTGTGTAGGTGGAAGTCGAGTGCGTGGCACATTCCAGAGAAGATTAACTAATGAACTTGTCCTTTCTAACCTTTCACATCTCTTCTATAGAGGGGAATTTGTGGGAGTGCAAGGGTGAGGGACAGAAAAAAAAAAAAAACCAAGACAATTACGAGACCAAAAACATTTATGGAACGATGCTTCAGACGTACTTCGACCACCCCCCCCCCTTCCCCCCAGGGAATCAGCGTTTGCAGTTTTTTTTTCTGCTGATCGTTCCAACGTGGTTATAAATAGGCTACATCGCAATCAAGGCCGACTGACTCTCTGATCAATCAGAACTTCAATCTGTGTCCAGTTCTGGCGTGCGCTGGACTCCATATTACATTTCTTCGTTGCGAATGTGTTTCGATTTTCGCATAGAATGATGGTGTCCAATTAGATCAGGTGGAGGAACGAAAGCCGCAGCTCTGCCAACCAACCTGGAACCACCTGCACATCCGTAACCTGCTACAAAGGGTAACAGCTACTGCGACAAGATTCGCAGCTGATTAGATATGCGAAAACCGCCGTTGGCACCAAATGTCATGGCAACCTGGAAATGATGAATTTTCCACAACTTTATCGAATAGTGGAATTGAAAAGCTCTAACCATGCTCATGATCGACCCAGCCAATGGTGGCACGAAACCAGCCGGAATTCTGTGCCGTTTGTTCACGTAATCAATGCAAGATACGAGCCCGGCAAGTAATTAGCTGTGCTATTGATCTGCAATACAGCCCATTAGTTGTGGGAGCCAAAACACCAGTATACGCACTAGCAATTCTGCTATTTAGCCCGATGCGGTAGCTTTCGTTATAGAAAAGAAAATGGCAGGCAGGCAGGAGCCCACGTGCTCGAGGAAATGAGCCACCTCTCGCCTTATTTTCTCTCTGTGGATAAATACTGGTTACTGGTGCCGCTAGTTGAAGCTGATCCAGTACGATACCTATTGGAGCTTTGTGGGCGGAGCTGGACGCACCCCTCCATCTCCGCCCACAAACTCCAAAGTCTCCGCCCACAACGTCCAAAGAGCGTTGAGAAGTTATACGAAGAGGTATTTTTCCACACTTTGTTATCTCCGAAATTCACGACACACTTTTATCCCGGAATACCTCCTCTCAATAACGACCTCAACCTAAACCAAGTCATACACGACCCTTCAAGAGTTCTTCGAGCGTGGATTACCCTGGGCAGCGGTAGCCGCTGACCGGCGTGGTTGCATTGGCTAGAATAGTCTTCAGTACACCAGAAAGGGCGAGGCTTATCAAGTTAAAAATACAATCGGCTTGGGAATTCTTACAAATCCTACACTCTCTTCCACAGTAGCTGTTGTATCGGAAAACTACAGGAAGTCGGATCAAGAGCCAGAAGGCGCTATAGGGTTTGCCTCATAAGTTGAGCTTTGTTGATGGCAGAAAAAGTCATTTTTCAACATAAACTGTTTAAGATTACAACGAAAGAAATGAAGACCTGGTCAAGAAGACTGCCCCATGTGCTCATGTACGCAGTGGGAAATGTCGTGAATAGACCAGCAGTCCCTTGTGCTCCAGTTACCTGCCGGATGCCACCATCGAGCTTCCACAGGTCATCTGAAATGAGACTGCCGTCAGGGTGAACTCGATAAATCCATTCCACGAAACTTCCTGTTGTGAGATTGTTCGATTGTACGAAAAATAAGAACTTGAAATTTTTGTGCAGGCGTAAAAAGTGGCTAAAAATTTGGAGGACTAAGGTCTTCAAATGAGCGGCGGATTGTTTGGCTATTGGTCATTATATTAACGCATTCGCGACAGCGTGATGCGCAGACGCGTTGCACTCTGCGGGTCGCATGTTGCAGCATGGTGCACTTGCGCGTCGCACCATGATGACGTCAAGATTCCGAGAATAATGACAACAAGGAACGATTACAACTTAAACAAAAATTTACCGTGATGTCCAAAGTAACTAACAGCCGTGCCAAGATAAGCGCCGATCAGCTGAGCTAAGGAGTAAAGGATCACTTTCCATCCAGGTATATTACCGAGTATACATTGAGCAATGGATATAGCAGGATTCAGATGAGCACCTGAAATTCACGCAAAATAGCCCTTTGACTTAACATTCACTTGTTCAAAATTTCCTACAACTATTTTCTTACTTGTATTTATGTACATGAATGGAGCTATTCAACTAGACTAGACTCTTATTTACCTCCAATCGTTTGGCCATGTTTCTGGGCTATTCTGTATCTAATTGTGCAATCCCTCCGGCAGTGCCACTCCGCCCCTTGTGGGCGGAGCATGCCCAGCTCGAAGTGCTCTGTATTTTCGATTAGGTTCCACCCATTTCCATTTTCCTGGGCGATTTCCCATTTTTCTCGTTAAAGAACTGAGGCCTGTCAACAGCTCAGATCTCAGTTCACTCGCCTTGTTGGCACGCGATTCCATGAAAGGAAATTGAAGACTTTAGAAGAACTTCGATTTCGTCATACTTTTTCCAAAGGGTTCTATCAATGCACAGCGCGTACACCTCGATTACTTCTCAGAAGAGGTGTTATTTGTGATGTCTTCAAGTTGTTCCAGCAAAAATTGTCAAAAAAAGGAATTTGTCAGAATGATGTATAATTGTGGCAATTTTGGCGCTTCAATTACCCTATGATTTATGGGAGAGGAATTACCCTCCCTTCAAAAACGAGAAGAGCGTCGGGTGCAGACCATACACCACAAGTGACGACGGCCTCCAAGTAAATCTGGTTAGTAGTGGTTCATAGTGATAGCTGATTTTTGGTAAATGATAGTTGTAATTAGTGACAACTGATAGAATACAACTGCAACAGGCTAATCATTTCATTGGCAGAAAGACGAAGCCGTCGTCACTTGTGGTGTGTGGTCTGCACCCAACGCTCTTCTCGTTTTTCGGAAGGGAGAATTATTTTGTGTTTTCAACTTAAGACCTTTCCGAGTAGATGTTTTTTGTTTTTAATGACGTACCTGAAACACTGGCAGCAAGATAGACAGCAAACATGAATCCAATGCCCCAAGCGATATGAGCCGACGTCGAATTTCCACCAACAGCAACGGCCGTGAATATTGGCGGCAGTACCGATCAGCTTAACAGTTTCAGTTCAACTTTGATCTTCTAGCCGTAGTTAGACCGATGTCAAACGTTGCGAATATCGCCCGGCGCATAGTGTCTTGCGGGTCCTCGCAGAAGTGATACTCATTGCGGTACGCAATCGGACCGCGGACGCTAGCGAATCGCGCGATTCGCAAAGTCTGACATCGGCCTTAGCGCGACTTACCAGCAGGAAAAAAGTTCCGAGACATTCTGCGAGCAACTCTCGAATGAGTTTGTTGTCTTCGATTCGGAGTGTGTTACTGATGCGATCACGAAATTCTTCCATGCCTGAATCGGGCAACACCTGGTCAACTTGTAAGATAGGGCAGAACTGAAGTGCCACCGATTGACGAAAAAGTGAAGAGGAGGAGGAGATGAGAAGTTGCAAGGAATGTTATTCTAGAGTTGAAAAAATAACTACAATAAGATCGGTGCGTGCGCGAATATATGGATTCCAACTAATCCTGTGAGAGGCAAAATATTGAAGAGAAGAATATTGCACACCTGCATCATGCAACATTCCTTCTCCGCCAAGCAGTATAGTGCAGGGTCAACGCGAACGTCACCGGGGGTAGTATTCCAAGGTCGACGCGCAGCAATCTAGATCCTTCAAGGGGATTTCGATACTGTGAGTTCACGCTTTGTGAATGCTAAGAAAATATGCCGTTTCACGTTCTATTATACGCTCCGCTCAGACTGCTATGTGGGAAATGTGGTGAGTTGGGTCTATTGTGTGGACTTGTGTCAGAATCAACTACTATAGTAAAAGCTCTGATGTGAGTTGTGGCACGATTATTGGGACTCCGAACTTTCAGGTTGTGAGGGGGTCGTAGTAAACATTTTCCGAACATTCCAATCGGTAGGTTGACCTGAGTAGGAGGGGATCGTATTCGAGCCCTCTAGAAGGGATGGAGGTGTAAAATTTTTGAAATTTGTCCAACGTGACGGTTGGCCCTGTTGTCGGAGTCATAAGAAAAGAAGATGTTTCGAGGGATTTCAAATGCACTGCTACCGCAATGCGCGTAATTGGATATTTGCGCCCAATTGTTTATTGGGAGCGATAATGAAAATGCCGCCTCACGTTTGTGGCACTGTTTCTATCTTAATCACCACGACTGAGTACTCATTCGAGAGACCGTTTTCTGGCCCAGGGCAAGATATACTTATTAGTTGTGAGGGAACAACTGAATCTCGAGTATAAATTTTTGCTCGAAGATGTTGGGTCCAAAACATCTTCAGACGAAAATTGCACGGTTGTTTGGGCGTGCGCATATGGTACGACTTCAGGAGAGGGACATGGTTTCAATATCACCGAGGCTGAGGTAAAGGACTTGAGGCAGGGTGAATAACGGTCGAGGAATTCCTCGACCATGGCTCTGTACTGTGCGAGAGTAGTGCCGAGAGTGAACGTACGCGCGGAGAGCACAGACGGCTCGCGCATGGCGAGTGTGAATGTCCGCGCGGGAGAACGTAACTGATCAGGCGAAAATCCTCGACGTGCCGTTGAGGAATCCTCAACCGATATTCACCCTGCTTGTGGACGAAGAGCATGGGTATCGACACGAAACTCAGGTAACGATGAACTAAAGAAAACAATCGAATAATGTCTTCGCCAAACTATACCGAAACTATGAGGAGGTTTGACGGCAGTCGCAGTACCATTCAAAAACTTCTACGTGCTGCGCTAGTAGTTCCATTATGGGCGGAAAAATGGGTAGGCGTTCCCCGACCTGTACAGGGTGGCAGTGAAGCTCTGTTCCACAACCCTCACAGGAAAGATGTTTTTGGCTCCGAGGTAACTGGACTGGAGAAACTGATGGTTCTTGATAACATAGTGAGAAGATGTAGTGGTTGGCAGCTGACGAAAAGCTGAGCCGACTGTAAAACAGCCACTGGAATAAGGCCGTGCTTGTCTATAGTGGAACAGTGTAGGACTGGTGTAGTTCGAATGGGTCAGGCACTTACTCTGAATTTTGCGCACACCACTTGATTGTATGGAGCAAGCCCTGCATCGCCCAAGGGTCCTTTTGGCCGATACGAATCCTGCAGTAAAGCGAAAGATCACTATGTTGCGAAAATTCCTCAACAAGAACTCGAAAACTTGGATTTGGAGGTTCTGCATCACATGCCAGTTAAGAGAGACTTTCCGCCTCCCGATTTCCGTCCTTCGCTCAACACAACACAGTATGACCGAGAGTAGGTGAAACAACCT